ATAATAGAAACAATAATATATTTCAGAGATATATAAGATAACGTTAGCATTTGCAGAAAACAATAATTGGATTTAAATCCTGCCATGATTGTGGAGGGAGGACAATGGTCAAGTGCTACTAAGTTCTCTTGACAATTTAGAATAAGAGTAAGACTACCCTAACTATAGATAAATGTAACTTTAGGATTAATAGTGCTGTATTCTTCAGACAATGCCCTAAAGACTTAGACTGACAGGATTGTAAATTACTTTGGGCAGAGATATATCATTACAAGACTTGGGTAAGATTGCCTCCTTCACACATAAGCACTTTTTTGTGACTCTCCCATCCTGCCATATAAGCAGAACATTATGACAGAATATATCTGGGAGAACATAAGGCAGCCTCTCCACTAGATTTACTGCTTCGATTATATTTACAAAAAGAGAACTATCCATAAAGAAATGAGTAATGAGAATTACAACATGTATTTCAGAGGAAATCTTCATTCTTTTCCATTTCCATTTCCTTGCATAATATATTATTTTACCAGTTAAGCACAGATAATATGTAGTAACTAGGTTGAGGTGACACTGATGTTTGGCAAGGATGAACAGAACTTGGAGAGAATTTTGTGAGTATTACTATGAGTTGCTGTAGATCACTAAGACTTAGTCACTTTTTAGTCACTTCTTAAAGGAACTATATTATACCTATCGTGTCTTTCTCTACTGGGGGAGAGCAGGCATGAACTTTCCATGTAAAAGGTTAATTCTGGTGATGAAAGTAATATTATTGAATTAAAGATATTCTCAATGAATTCCTGGCCCTCAGTGCCTCCTTTCCTTGAGCTGCTACTTTGCATCTGACTTTAAATGGTACATATTTAAGGTCTAATAAAAGCAAAATAGTTTTGTGGAACTTGATATCTTCCTGTCTGGTATATATGTTGAGTTTTGGAAAATGACTTTTTTTAAATATTTCAGTAGAGAATTCTCAGAAGCTAAATTTGCAATTGAAAATATGAATCACAGTTTGAAATACTGGGATAATTTAGATGTATTTTGTTCAAACCTTTTCTTGGATGTTGCAATAAATGGTAAAAAGAGTTCAGGCCATCTGGTCTTCCAGTATTGCCAGCCATTTACTGTATGTCGGGACAGTAAAAAGAATTAAATACAATATATAAATTAATGGCTTACTACAATTCATAAAATGATTATTGGCTACTACAGGTTTATAACTGAATATATTGATAAACTTTTCTATTTTTTAAATTTTCAAATTGGAATCTGTTAGATCAAATTGTAATAACATCATTTCAATTTAAGCTCTTAAGATTCCAGTCGACAATTCAGGCAGTTCTGTTATATAGATATCAGAAATACTATGGAAGATAATCTGATATTTTTATTATCCCGTATTTTTTTAAGTATCTGTTTTGCTTAAAAATATGTACCCTATTTTCCCTAAAATAAGCCCTCCCCCAGAATAAGCCCTCTCTGAAAATATCGCAACGAAGCAGCCATGAGGTGATCATGCTCACTACTTCCTGCACCTCAAAAATAATAAGACCTCTCCAGAAATAAGGCCAAGTGCTTATTTCGGGGGTCAAAAGAAAATAAGACCCTCTCTTCTTTTGGGGGAAATACAGTACATCTTTAATTCAAGTCAAATTACATAGTGTAAAAATTAAAAGTAGAAGGTCCCAAAGGCAGTTAAGTTAGTTAGTTTTAGTTAAAGCTAGTTTCAGTATGGTGAGAATGTCCATATATGTTAAAAAGAATGTCCACAATGCCAGGCCATAACTTTATGTAAGATTGATGTTTTGTATGTGTGTTGCACCAAGTCATATCCATTCTCCAATTAAATGAGAAATTACTTGATGTCTGCATCATTTGTTTGATTTTGTTGTTGTTACTGGAATATATTTTAATGTTCTTTTTGATAGGCTTTGAAAGGAAATCTATAATCAGAGAAATAATACATAATTTTTTTGGCCAAATAGTCCAATAGTATTCTTTTAAATAGAGAGAATAAAAATCCAGAAAAATCTCAGCAACAACAAAGCATTTAAAAACAGACATTTTGAAATATTTTGAGGGATAAAAGGATTAAGTATATTGTTTTATTTCATATCATGCTGAAACATATACTTGACGATGTAAACTGCAGAAGACTCACTTCTTAGAAAGAATTTAACACCACAGTAGTACGCCAATACTTATGTTATTCCAAACTCAGGTATAGATAGCATTGTTAAAACTGGATAACAGGACACAAAACTGAATGGAGTCATCATTGTAAAAAAAAAAAAAAAGTTGAGAGACCCTCAAGAAATCAACATGACTGAAGATATCTAAACTATGAGGTAATTGTTAAATTTTATTTAACTAATTCAGGAATAAAATCAAAGATATTGTTTGCCTCATATTGAGCCATCAAAAGTAAGTCCGGGGCAGGGGGAGGAGATAGAAGTTTTCATGTTTTCCGGAAGACCTGTGAATTCTGAGAAATCCTTAATGCCTAAGAATATAAAAATATAATCAAATATTTACTGAAGAGTAATGATGATATGAGGAAAAATATAGAGATTAATGCTATGTCTAAAGTAGTTTTCCTTCCAATTTCATAAATATTGCATGTTTCCAACATATTATTGAGCCATAAGTTTGTATACTGGGAATAAGTGACCTTAAAACTGCCATATTAAAAATCTGCAGAAGTGCCCAATTATAATAAAAGGTCAGTGGATGAAATTTCCATTGTAATTATGGCACACAAACTCCATATAGATGTCTTGCACAGGTAAAAACATTCCGCTATCATTTCTTGTAATATGGAGAGAATTATTAGATTTTTTTTATTTTTTAAAAGATATAGCTTTAAAACCTTCACAGATATATCTGAGAAGGTTTGATCTTTTCTAATCTGTTAAAAATTCAGTGTATCATATTATATAGGTAATAAAATTTACCCTGCAAAAATTTCATTACTGTTTGGCTTTAGTCAAACAAATCCCCCACATAATTTTTAAAAAGCATATTTTGATGAGGCAAAATGTCTTTTAGAAGTCAAATGTTAGTTCTCTATTTAGAAATCATACCTAGTTTTTTCTTACGTCCAACTATTCAATCCACATATCAGAATATATGTGGAACATACATTATTAATTTATTCAACTTGTATGCCAACTCACAAATGACTTTGGGCAGTTTGCAGTCAAATTAAAAACTATATAAACAGGGCATATCAAAGACAAACAAAACAAATTTGCAACTGAGGATGTCAATCAGTAGACGATTACATGAAGCAATATTATATGTAGTGCAAATTAGGACATTGGTCCGATCTAACAGAAAAAGACTAAGCCTCTTATTTCAGGGATAACAATAACAAAGTAATTATATATATTAACAATAGAAATGTGAAGAATCAACACCAGATAAATTAGGGTAAATGAAAAATGAAGAAGTTCAGAAACGGAAAATTCAAATGAAATGTTTCTTTTAGAACAGTGAATGCAAGAATAAATTTAAATATAGCAATCTTTTAATATACGCTAATGTTTTCTAGTGACTTGCAATGAGAATCAAAACTTTATAGTTCTTATACACAAAGAATAAATCTATATAGAAAGCTGAATAAAGACTTTGATTCATATGTTTGTCAGATGATATAAATGAAGTCTTCTAAGGCCTAGAAACTGCAGAAAATGAGATTGAAAAGATGTTATCCATTATTGAATTAAGATGCTATCTGCCTATTCCTGACCTTACCTGATCTAAACCATGCTGATTTAAATCTGCTACTTAAATCTTTTCCAAGTTGCTGCTGCTGCATAGGAATGTGACATTCATACTAGCCAAGGAAATAATTGTTTTGTTCATCTAGCAATACCTTTGTTTCTTTCTTCATATCACCAGCCAGTAAAGAAACACCCACTAATCTGGTACTTCTGCATGGATGAAATATGTTTCTTAGAGTTCTTCAATATAAAATTCCATTTGTAAACATTAAAAAAAACTGAAGTGAATTCAGTTAGTAAATATACACTCAACTAATTTAAACTCTTCACATGGTATTGTATATAGATATTATAACTTATTAACTAGACTCATGTTAAATCATATACTGTCCCAAGTTCTAAAGGAATCTGAGAATGCAACCTGAAACTCAACAAATTAGCTCAAAAAGAATTTTCTAATATATGTTTGTTTGTTTTTGTGCTGTCCACCTCATTATTCAAAGTGACATAGAAAGAAATTAAGCACCATCTCCATCTCGTTATTTGTTTTATTTTTCCCCTTTTTAAAAAAAAAATATTATAGAAATTTACGGCTAGAATAATATCAGAGAAATATATATTATAGTCTTCCTTTTGTTAATTTTGGGAACTTCTTTAAAAGTTCCTGCTTGTAAGAAAATGATTGTGGGTGATTTATTATGCTGTGATGTTTTATAAGCAAGTGGACACTGCATATTCTCCCTTCTCTATCTTTCTCTCTATTTGAGGATAATATTTTCTCGTTGCCAAAAATATTTGTCTGAACAGAACTATTAAAAAGAAGCAAGATAATAATCACACAATTAAGGTCAATATTATGGACATGTACAATTTTATCATAAAAAGTTTATATCATTGTTTATAAAGTGAAAAATAGAGAACCTTATCTAAACATCCTCTGAATGTTTTATCAACATTCTAGGGGTGAATTTTGTGCGTAGTTTGGGGAAAGGCAACAATGCTAACAGTCAGATGAAATATCTATAGCACCATTTTCTCCTGGAAACCCCAAAACATGTTCTGTTTTTTTAGGCCTGAAGTACTAAATCTTAAGATCTGATCTATGCATAAATCAGAATATAGAGTGTGAGAGACTGAAGCAATAATCTGCAGCCAAAGAGCCAACTTGTTCCTATAATACTCTCTGCAATGTTATACATTATTACATATGAGCTCCCTGTCTCTCTTTCAATGTTTCATTTTAATTCAATTGTGCAACGTGCTTATTTTCAGACATTAACATGGCAGGGGAGCCAAAACCATACAGACCTAAGCTGGGAACTAAGCGACCACTTTCTGCTCTCTACAGGTAAGCTGCCCATTTAATTAAAGAACCTGTGAAGTGTTTTTGAAGTTTTTGGTGAATTTTTCTTGGTAAAATATTAACCCTTGCTTGAATATCTGATCATTCGGCTGCCCCTTGGCAGAGAACCCTTGCTGGAAACAAATGGTGCCAACACTTAGTATTCATTTTTTTTTTTTTTTGAATTTGCAGCTTGGTTTCTATCCAAAACCTCTCTTGCCATGTTTCTTTCAGCCTTTATCAGGACTTCTCCACCTAAATAGTACATACAGGGATATCCCCTGGCACCATTCCCTTAGCTCCGTATTAAGAAATAAGATTGACAATTCTGTAAACTAACTAGAGTTTAATTTGTGAAACATATCTTTACTGCTTGAAACCAGCCAAACCTTAATAATAGCAATAGCATTTAGACTTTCATAATGCTTTACAGCCCTCTCTAAGCAATTTATAAAGTTGGCAAATTTTTCCCAAAATCTGGGTCCTCATTTTACTGACCTCAGAAGAATGTAAGGCTGAGTAAAATCTTGAGGTTCTAAGTCAGGTTCTAAGTCCTGGCAATGGGCAATACTGCATTCTAACCACTGCACACCATGAATCTCATCTAAAACTTCAACTTCTTGTCACCTGAGTGAAATCTCTATGTGTGATAGATTTATCAGAGTTACAGCCACACATAGATATTTGAGGCAATGCAATTTCAGTTAATTACTTAACACTCCAAACATTTTATGAGATGTTCCACATTTTATGAGATGCTCTACATCTTATTCTACATAAGTTTGAACTTCCTGAGAGGAAACTATTATCTATTTTACCCTACTCATGAGTAGGAGTGCCTCAGACATAACTAGGCAAGAAATAGTGACCAACTGTCAGTAGCTACTTCTTTCACCTTCTAGACCTCTCTTGCGCTTTTCATTTTAGAAGAAAGAATATTTTAGAGCTCATGTGAATTATTGTATTTCTAGACAACTGTTTTTAGTACAGATACTATTGCTTAAAGCTCCCAGGGTTACTGAATCTCAGAAACAATTTATTTCAATGCAATTTTACATTTAAAAAAGTTCCACAGTTTAGAACAATATACAAAAAAGACCTCTGCTGACCAATGGGCCTTTGTGGTCATGGATATTTCAAAAGAGTTTTCCTGGCAGCTATTCTATTCTATTAAACTTTTAGGAGTGCATCTGTTAGCTTGTAACACAATAAACATCCTAGCATCCGATCATTTCATCAACTCTCACATGACTTAGTATTCTAAGTAGCCCCACTCATCTTTTGCAATAAAATAATCATGAAGGTGCTTGAGCAGTTGCTCACCAAGTCAACCCAGCACATTGAACATCTGGATCCATTTCCATCTGATTTACAGATTGGATTTGGCAGTGATAATTTAGGCAAACTAATTCATCCAGTGGAGGAAAAAAATAAAATAAGGTGTTTGTATAATTCTCTTGATATATTTTTTCAATATAGTATTTTCATGTACCCTAAATAACTATAGGAATGCTGGCCAGTATAATTATGCTAATGGTTATAATTATTACTGAAATGTCTATTAAATCAGTTGTTATTGTTCCAAACTGAAACATGGCAGAGAATTTCTGGATAAAGATGATCCGTTACATAGATAAAGGAGAGGACAACAAAACATGGAAAGAGACTGATGGTTAAATTCCAGTTCGCCCAGTTTCTGACCAATTCTGCTGTGTTTCATCCTAAGATGCTGCTAGAGCCCTCCAAGATCATGTCCGAAGATGGTTAATTGAAAAAGTCATAGGTCAGATCTGAATAGAGCCAAGCTAAAAGAGCAAATAAATATGTTTCTCTCCTCCAGAAAAGGAGATGCAAATGTGTTTTGAGGCCAGAAGCAATTATAGATCAGGTTCCAAAAGAAACAGCAAAAGAAATTTGAAGCAGGCTCTATCTATTAATGGTTTAGTGCAGTTTCTCAATCTAATTTTAATGCTTATTGGGGAATTCTGGGAGTTGAAGTCCACAAAGCTAAAAGTTCTGAAGTTGAGAAACACTGGTCTACATTTCATGGGTAACAATTGCATGAAAATTATGTAGTTCATGATGAATTCTTAGAAAGTCGAGTTTCTGAATTACCATGAATGCTACATGCACAAATATCATCCTTAGTGGTAGTCTTTCATATACCAATCTGACTTCAACATTTTTATTTTAGTTTCATAGCCCCAAGTTACTAATTTAAAGATCAATTTAAATGAAAGGCCAATAGATAATTGTGTTCCTCTCTTGCCTAAGATTTTTTTTAAATAATTTACTGTATTGCCACAAATCTCTTGAAACCATTTACACTCAAAGAGGGTCAAACTGAGGGCAGCCATATTTTGAGCAAATTGAATCTGAGTTTGTAAGAATGGATTTCAAACTGTTTTTTTTAATTATAGTTTTTCATCCACAGGCCATCACACATAAAATATATCCTCTTTTTTCCTCAGGGAAACACATATCTAGTTGCATTTATTAGCAACCTACTGAAATCTTATAATTTATATTCATTACATAACTCTAAAAGTGTGGGTTTCATTATCTGCTAGAAAAGCTATTTTTTCTCCCCAAAAGTTCAAGATCTCTCCAACCTCTTTGACCCTCACAATAACCCAGAGATAAATTATAATATAAAACTGTGTCCTTCAAAATTAATGACAGGATCCTGGATTTTCTTGGTCATAGGAAACAAGTCAACAGAAAAGGTTATTTGCACCTCTGCTAGCAAGAAGATAGGGCTCAAATTCATTCTGTGGAAGAAAGCGGTATCCTTCAGGGAAGGGGGGAGGGAGGGAGGAACGAATGAACTAAGAACTTCACAAATTGCAGCTGAGATGCACCATGGATAAGCCAGGGCTGGCTGAATGTATTTGAGAAGAACTATCTGCTGATTCAATAAACTGATCTGGGAAATGACAGATCTAGTAATGGTAATGGTTTATCTCTTGTAAGGGAACCAGACATAAGCTGCTGTTTTCAAAATCATGGTTTTGAAATCAGGAAAGGCACTCACACACTCCAGAATGTTAAGATGGATTGTTGGGGTACTGGGCTTTTGTGAGACCTTGAATTCTGCATAATATAAGGTCTTTATCTTGTGTAGCTACAGCATGCAGTGTAAACCTTATGCCATGCATAATTTTTTCAACAAATTTAACTATTTTTGTTATTTTATTTAACAGACTTGAATCAAAAGAACCTTTCCTTTCTGTTGGGTGAGTAAGAACATTAGTTTAATTTTAGAAAAAAATAACTGCATAATTATATCTTTTAGTAGCTTTCAGCTATTCAAAGGGAATAGTAGTAGTATTTTATTTACTTTTGGAGATTTTCAGTAATGAATAGAAAAATTTAGAGTATTTGGGACAGAATATATTTTTCAGAAGTCTTCAGTCCTTGACTTATTACCATATGTTTAATAACCCATAAAACACACAGCCATTGTAAAGCCCTCTCCACAGTCACACATCCGCATTTTGGATGCTTGGCAATTAGCTTACTTTTACGACTCGTTGCAGCATTCTATGGTTATGTGACAGAAAATTGCAATTGTTGCCATTTAGGTGCCGATTCACTTAATCACCACCATAACAACAGTCATAAAATTGGGTCCAGTTAAGTGCTTTGACTTGTAATTACCATGATTTATGATAAAAAAAAATCTAGTCCCAATTGGAGTCGTATGTCAAGGATTACCTGTATATATAATCAGTACAATATCATTTGCAATTGCTTTCTTGTCTAAAGAATAGTCTTATCAAAGAATCAACAGAGATCCTAAATATTTATCAATATTGTTATCACAACCTAAATAACATAAATACCAGAGGTCTATGGAGATTCTTAGTCATGCTTGTTCCAAAAGTGCTTTTTAAAGAGGCAACTGGACATTCTGGTTTTTCTTTGAAGATGTTTCATTTCTTATCCAAGAAGCTTCTTTAGTTCTGACTGGATGGGGGTGAATGGAAGAATGTATATTCCGTGCACACAGCTGGGCATTTGCATTCTTTTGGAGAGTCATTAAATTTTATCTATGTCATCAGGGTCACCTGAATAGGGCAAATGGGTGTGGAGTCTTCTTGGAATTGTTGACGGGACTGTGTTGTAGACTGAAGATAGATGATTTCCTCAACTTATGATAATTGGGACTGGAACTTCCATCTCTAAGCAGTTGTTAAGTGATTCATCATGTGACTGCACCAGAGTTTGCTACCTTTGCTATGGTTGTTAAGTGAATCTGGCCACTCCCATTAACTTTGCTTATGAGAAGCTGGCTGGGAAGGTCACAAAAGGCAATCATATGATCCAAGATACTGCATCCATCATAAATAAATGCTGGTTGTCAAGCATCCAAATCACGTGTGAGGAGGCACTGCAACAGTTGTAAGTGCGAGGGCCAATCGTAAGTCAGTTTTTCAGTACACTTGTAACTTTGAACAGTCACTAAACGAATGATCTTAAATTGAGGCCTACCTGTAGTGGTTTTATATAAATAATCTATGGATATGGAGTATGGATCTTTGTGAACCTGCATTCTCATTGTTCTTTGGACAGAAGTCCTAAGGCATATAGCAACTCTTTTCTTGCAGATGATCCTCTGAACATTTCAAAGGCCACTTTTCAGTGAAAAAGCTGACCAAAACTCACTAAAAATAATCCTCCAATTTAGTTTTGTAAAAAGCAGATTGTCAAATCTGTTAATGGTATATAGGAAGTCTGTAATTACCAGTAGAGTGGGTGGTTTTTAGGGTTTTCTTTTACACATGTATTTTAACTGCTTCTGATGTAGACCTCAAAATAACTATGTTAAGAATGAACAAACAACAGTCAGACAGATAAAAATATACTAACAGATGCATTGGAAAGATGTTAAATTGAAGTGAGCTAACATACAAGTTAAAAACATTTTCCACCACTTCCAATTTTACTCTTTCTGTACCTTAACAAGATAATTGTCATCAAATGGACACTTTAACTTTTGGAATAAAATGCTTCTAGAAGAATCTGCAATGTGATACCAGTTAATTTTGATTAGGTAAATCAGCCTTCTCCAAGTTGACATCTTTACCTTCTTGTGGGTAAAAAAATATATATTCTGTTAAGGATTTGGTTATAAAGTGTACATAGTCAGGATGAGGCGAGTCCACTTTTGTGTATTTGAAAATCAGTGTTTCATTTTGAAGGGGGTTCAGCTTTAATCCTATGCCACTAAGAATTGAATCTTCATTTTAGAGTAGCATTTTGTAATCAAGTGCTATGCAGATTAATGGATTTCAGCTCCCAAAGGCCATGCTAGCTAACTAAGATTTATGGCATTTGAAATCCAACACACCTAGAGGATACAACGTTGGAACGCTTCAACAAGAAAGAATATAACAAATTTTCAGAAGAGAATCATGCCTCTGTCTTCCTTAAAAGACTCATCTAGTACTGCTATAAGAGATGCACTAAATTTCAGATTTTCAGACAGAGCTTAGATTCTGTTGTTTAGGAGTTACAGCGAATTTATTGTGAAATATCACGTCAGCTTCCCCACCTGAGTGTAGACATAGTATGCTTTTTTTTAATTATGTCAGCAGGAGGTATAATTAATTGTATTGGAAGAACTGTCCAATATATACCATTTGGAGAAACAGTAATATAATGTGAGGTTATAGTAATAATAATGCCATCAATATGAAATAATAATTATACTATGCCAGCTTAGTATCATTGGCATATTTCTTGACAAATAGCTGCTACTCTTAAGCACCCTTCATATACTTTTCTTATGAATATGTTCATTTACCTTTTATGTCATTAGATAGCACCCATCCATCTGAGCTGAGACTTAATTTTACAATTAAGGAAAATTGGGAATTCTAGGAACTACATCTCCCAAGTGATTAAATTTTACCAAGGAGCAAAAGCAATAGCAAAAAGCAAATTGTTTTCAGGGGAAAAAATCTTGCTTTCCTGTAACATGAAATTCTAAGATCTTAAGCCTCGAAGACCTCAGGGTTTCCATACTGGTGGCAAAGCCTTTCTGATATCTAGTAACCTCCCATCATGCCTATATTTCCCAGAAACCAAATCCTTAAGACCAATTAAGAGAAGCAAAGAGTGACAAACAAGCTGCCAAATTGTATACTTCGCCTCAAGAAGCCTAGGACATGCTGAAAATCCCATGGATGTTCCCACAATAGCACATTTTAGGCCTATAAAAAATGAAGACAGGAAAACCTCAAAGACCCAGAGGTCAAGATGATGGAAAACCTTTGTCTGAAATCTTTATGCTTTAGAAGAAGAAACTGATTTACTTGTTTGGTCTAGAACATGAGTCCCCTGTCTGGACTACTATCAGGCTGCGGCATGCAAACAAGCGAAGCCGCATCCTCAGGATACAGATTAATAGAGTTGGAAGGGACCTTATAGGTCATCTAGTCCAACCCCACCCCTGCTCAAGCAGGAGATCCTACACCATTTCTGACACATGGCAGTCCAATCTCTTCTTGAAAGTCTCAAGTGATAAAGCCCCCACAACTTCCGAACCTAAAGTACAACAGAAAAAAAAATGGGATGCCAGGCACATAGTTTGTATACCGGGGATAAACAGCTTCATAAATTGTTGTAGTCATTGTTGCACATTTCTATTTTCTTTTTCTCTCAATTGTAACAGCTCATGCGTTAGACATCCTTAGGCTTTACTGTGGCTTCAGATTCAAACATTCTAGTTATAATCTTGATGGGTTTCATTTGATGGCAGTCCATTTTCTCTGAATGCAGAATTTTCCTAAAACAGTTTTTTATGCCACAGTATGAGAATATTATATTTTCCCTGCTTGAAATAGAAATGTACAATTCTGCAAAATTCAGTCTGGGGTAATTGAGCAAAATAATACAGTGAGCAGTATATTGCACGATTGTAGATGAATTAATAATTTTCTGATCCTCATGGAATCCTTTATGTGAATGTTTAATTATGTACAATAACTAAATAGTGCAAAACAAATGAGACTTTAATTATGTATGGAAAGAATCATTATGTCTCATTTTATAATGTGTCAATTCATTACAACTACTATTTGCTTGTTGCAGATTAAGTGCTGTTGCTGTTTATCTTTGGCAGAAAAAACAATCAAGATTCGTGTGACTTTTAACAAATTCCGATACACACACACACACACACACACACACACACAGAGAGAGAGAGAGAGAGAGAGAGAGAGAGAGAGAGGGAGACTTATATAGAACTGTATCCAATTAATTGTTGTCCCTAAGATAACATTTTTCATTAGGATGATTTGTTCATCTCTTTATAGTCCTTTTACATGCAGATTAGGAAATTGGGGACTATCCAGATTGAGAAGGGACTGGAAATGACACAGGGAAAGACAGAAAAGAAAAGTTGTACTATATAAAAGGAAGACTGATAGCACAGTATTGGAATTCATTTGTTGCATTTCTCCTTTCCTCCATTGCAGCTCCATGCCAACTGTCTTCTCCCCAACCTAAAGTTATGAGGGTAGAAATCCACCAACATACTGAGATGGGAGTTACCACTTGGCCCAGTTCAAAGTTGAAAAGCTCAGGAAAGGAGCTACCTAAGTAACAGGAAGTTGCTACACCAGCAAAATCTCTAACTTGCTTATATCTCCCAACTCCACTATCTGTTTTTTACAGCTAAGAAAAATAATTCAAAAGAGTTCAGTAAAATATAAATAGGATCTGCTGAATTATAGAGCTAAAGGCAGTTTTGTGTATTTATTGATAATGGAGAGAAACCTGTCATCCTAGTGCAACAAAAGAAGTTTGGGCCATGCACTGGTCAACATGTCAGGACTAGTTAACATTTGGATGGAAATCCAAGAGTATAGGTTAGACTAGGAAGACAGAAAACATCCTAGAAGAAAGCAGTGACAAAGCACCTTGGTGCATGGATGTGTTTCTGTCACCAGAGCTGAGCCCAACCTAAAGGAGACTTTATATTATTATATTACCTTGCTTTATAGTAATAATAGGAGAAAAGACTCATGTTAGCCAGTTGCTGGTGTATTAGAACTTTTTTCCCATCCTTGTTCGCCTATGCTTACACTATTTCTCATTTTATGATTTTAAGGTTGCCAGAGTTTAGGACAGGAAAATTAGCTAAAAAGAGATGACTGTTGTGGATGATGTGGGATAAATACCATTTTCTGGTACTATAGAAAATAGAAAATATTGTCATTATATTTGTGAACTTACTGTATGTGCATTAAAGCAAACTTATTCTAAGTAACTTTTTTTTTGTGTACAAGGAAGCTTCCACTCGTCTTTTCACAAATGTCTTTAAAAAAATATTATTCCATATTATAAAAAATAGCACTAGTTGGGCAAATCAGAAAAAAAAAATTTTTAATCCAACCAAGTCATAAAATTCAGTAACCCATTTGTTTGAAATTAAACAATTTCAGCCCATTTGTTTGAAATTAAACATCTGTAGGGCTTGGGAGACAAAAGACAAAATCTATATCACAAGTATGTGACTTACATACTTGTATCTGACGTCAGTTGTAAGCATACAATTATGGCATTTGTATGCTGATGTCGCCAGCTATACATCATTTTGGCAACATTTGCTGTAGATGTTCCTTCTGTGAAGTCTGTCTATAAATAAACAGGACAATTCCACATAGCGATAGTCTGAGGAACTCAACATTTTTAAATTAAAGGAATTCAATACAGTAATCTCTCCATAAGAAATAAGAAGGTTCCATGTGTCTCGTATTATATATAATAACATAGACTGTAAATTGCATATGGATGTGAATTAGGCAAATAATGCATCATATTATGCCAATGGGACAGTCACTATCTATTATGGTTCAGAAAAATTACTATCTTCAGTTTTCAACTTTACGTTTTCATTTACTCCTTTATTTTTCTTATTTTCTATTTTCATTACCATAGAAAGAGAGAAGAGGGGATGTGAGTGATTCAACAGAATTTTTCAAAATAAAAGAAAATGTTTCATTTTGGAAGTTTATACTATTAACTTGTTTTTGTCATTCATATGTTTACCATTTGGCATATATATATATCAAGATCACATAATAAATATTTTCATTTGGTATAAAAGTAAAGAATTATTTGATGCCTAGATATTCATATTAAGGAAAGTGACCTGATCTCTGCTCCCCACTGTAGCTCGGGTTAATTTCTGAAACCTTTTCCTGATATTTGGCAGACTTTCAAGAACATCTTTTTAAATGTGGTAGGTGAGGGAGATAATCGAGGCAAATATTTCTGTATGAGTCACAAAAGTTATTTTCGTGGAGGGGAGGGGGGTTGATACAACTTAAGCTTACAATAGCCATGCACCTTAACTTAAATTTAATTTTTACAACTCTATTTGAATTTATTATTGGATTCTGTCTAGCAGAAGGTAAAGAAAAAAGAGGGCTGGGACTCAGTCATGAAACATTAAAAATATTAAAAATGAAGCTCACGTGACCATAACCACATCTTTCCAAAATGTCATTTTCTTAGGAGTCTGGTTCTCAGATTTTGGACATATTCTATATATTAGACCATATGAACCAATTTTTGGTTCAAAAATTGTTGTCCTATGATATACCATTTCATACAATTAAGATTATGCCAACAGGTTTTAGAACTACATATAAACAAAGTTTAGGTTATTACTTTTATTTTTGTTTTAAAAATTACCATATTTTTTGGAGTAGAAGATGCACTGGTGTATAAGACACACCAAGATTTTGAAGAGGATTTTTTTTAAAAAAAGTTTTTGCACTCTGCAGACCTCTCCAAAACTGCCCGTTTTTCGCGAAAACAGGCCTGTTTTTTGCCCCCCAAAAGGGCATACATAGCCTTTAGGAGGCTTATAGAGTGCTCTTGGGGGCTGGGGGGCAAAAACCAGCCTGTTTTTTGCTCATTTTTGCCCTCCCCAGCCCCCAGGAACACTCTGGAAGCCTCCTAAAGGCTTTGCATATTTGCAAAATGGGTGGAGTGAATCCTGTATTCAGTGTATAAGACACACCCAGATTTTCAGCCTCTTTTTTGAGGGAAAAGGGTGCGTCTTATTCTCCAAAAAATACAGTAGTTCTTTTTTCCTCCTGCCTTTATTATTTTTTTAATAATTATGTCAAGGTGGCAAACATATATAATATTCCTTTCCTTCTTGTATTTTCCCCACGTGTGAGGTCAGGTGAGTTTAAAGCGAGTGACTGGCCCCAAGTCACCCACAAAGCTTTCATGCCTGAGATGGGATTGGAACTCATAGACTCCTGGTTCTAGCCTGGTGCCTTAACCATAAGACCAAACTGAGATATAAATTCTTATTGTGATTCATACCTTGCAAATTATTATTAACTAATATAATTTGCCTCATCTCTTCATGGGACTTTTATTTGCTCTTCTTGCAGGGGTTATGTCTTTGATTATGATTATTACAGAGATGATTTCTACAATCGGTATGTGTACTTTTGTTCCTGCCTTTGCATGTATGAACTGCATTTTTTATTTATTATAAGAGATTGGGAAGAGAGCATTAATTTTCTCAGGAAATCATCAGGAGTTGTGAGAGATTTGAACTGGGTCTATGGGAAAGACATTTTAGATAGATCCTTTAGATCAGGGGTGTCCAAATTTGGGAACTTTAAGGCTTGTGGACTTCAATAGTTGGCTGGGGAATTCTGGGAGTTGAAGTCCACATGTCTTAAAGTTTCCAAGTTTGGACACCCTTGCTTTAGATGAAAGGATAAACTTGTTTCAATATATATGTTGATGTACATTTTTAATAGTCTTAATTACAGTTAAGTTTAAATATCCTTAAATAAATTAAATAGTTATAGTTAGCTATATGTAAAACATTTTTTCTCAATTTAATAAGCTGTCAGCTGTTGTTGTTGTTTTATCTTTTGGACAAGGTTTTCACTCAGCCAAGCTCTCCTAGCCATGAAAAGAGCTTTGAGCTCTTTAGCTCTTCAAGCTACAGAACTTCGCTGGTAGTTGTGCTGGGAAGTCTGTGTGCATATAAATATTAGTACAGAATATTAACACCATTATGGAAAAAGACAAGCCAGGCTTAGGTAAAATTTTCAAACACATAAACTACAAATCAGAAATACAGTATTTCTGTATTGGCATTTCCTGTTGATTTATCATATATATGTAGATCATTTGGGAGCATATTTACCCATAAACAATTCTAACTTGTTCCAGGAAAGTATGCACAGAATTATGCAGGTTTATCTAATGACAACCATATGTTTAAAACCAGTATGATTTGAAATTGGTAGTATGATATCAGTGGAAATAATGTTTTTCATCCTATAAACAGTTAAAATTTGATTAGAAGTTAATGAAACTGTACCAAGGAAAGACATTTCCTCTATCAAGGAAAGACATTTAGATAAAGACTTTTATCGTTCTCCAAAATACTTGAAGTTCTTAATCATTCTCTTTGTGAGTTAGAAGTACTTCTGTTTATTTGTGAAGATAAGATCAGCTTAGTTTTGTGTTCTTTATATGTATAGATATTATGGAAGGTCATGATGTCTGAGAGTACTGCAAATTGTAAACCAAACACATCTGCAAGGGAAAGTGGAATTGCTTTTTATATTTTCATAATTAGTTGGCTGAAATAAAATTATATAGAGAACATACTGACTGTAATGAAATATAAATATGCTTATTGATGAATTCTTGAAATATAATTTAACTCTAATTAAACCTTTTGAGATATTGGAGGTCAGTTTTCTAATGAGAAAGAGCAGAATTTAGTATGGAAAATGTATCTAACATAAAATTACAATTCAACATTCCGAAGCCTCTGTTTCTATTTCTCTTAAGGTTATTTGATTACCACAGCCGGGTTCCTGCCCCACCTCGTGCTGTGATTCCATTGAAACGCCCACGAGTAACAGTCACAGCAACTCGCAGAGGAAAAGGAGTCTTCTCCATGAAAGGAACATCAAGGTCTACATCAAGTGGAGCTTCTTCATCAGGATCAAAATGTGAGTTCATGCATACATTGTGAACTAACTTCTTTGGTTTTAAAAATAACCAAGGGTAATTACATGTGTAGGTGACTATCCACCCTCCCAAAATGTTTGTTTTATTAGCAGTATATTATTTAGTTAACAGAAGATGTGTTCCTCCTAAAAATAATAATAATAATATACCATTTTATTATTGCTGTTCTATTCTTTTTTCACTTTCAGTGAAATCAGATGAATTGCAGACAATCAAGAAGGAATTAACGCAGATCAAAACAAAAATTGATTCTTTGCTAGGGAGACTGGAGAAGATTGAAAAGCAGCAGAAAGCTCAATCAGGTAGAAGAAAATTGCCTATAACTCTTAGTAACTCATTAAAACATGAATCAATCCACTGTAAAATCAATTATATTGTCATTTGAGGTTGGAGATATGTACCAGTGAATATTTTGAGGTGTTTAAATTAAAGTGTCTTAAGTTTTAAAACTTTGAGTTTAAATTAAGGCATTTAAGTTTTCTTCAATTTTAGAGTTAGGTGTAAACCTAAAAATTGAAGAAAACCTTGAACATTCTATCACGATCCACCAGTTAAAATTAAATTCAAAAGGCAATTTATTTTGAAACTCTCTCTGGTGAGAAAGAAGCAACAATAAAATCACAGTTTTACTGTGACGCAGATTATATATACAGTACATCCAATCTGGGTTGGTTGCCAGGACCAGAAGTTTAGTCTTCCAAGCCAGAGTCTTCAGACTCGTGTTGGAGCCCTTCTTAGGGGACTTCTCTCTCACCAGAATGTTCCAGAATGAGAATGTTTTGGTGAGAAAGAAGTTCCCTAAGGTTGGGCTCCAGCACAAGTCTAAAGACTCCAGCTTGGAAGACTAAACCTCTGGTCCTGGCAACCGACCAGATTGGATGTATTTATAATCTGCATCATAGGAAACTGCTTTTTTAAGTGTTTTTCTGAATAGAAGAGACAATATTTAAACTGATTCATGAGTTTGAGATTGAGTCAATTGATTTCATGAGAGACCAGTCGATTAGTAGAGTTTCTTCAAAACATTTGGCTGTTTCTTCTGCTTATTTGAGATTAAATCTTGATTCACTGGAGTTCATATCTAGCTAGATGTAATGTTAATGTGATTCCCTCTTTACCCCAAAAAAAAACAACACACACCATACAATGTCTTGTACATATTTGGATTAATCTCTATGGGACTGTTTGCAAGACAGTGCAAAAAATGTTCTGTTGTCCAGTGGAATTAAAAGATGGGAACAAATTGGCTAAATAATTCAACAGTATAAAATAAAATAAAATGGAAATAGAAAAGGAATGAAAGCAATATCTAAAAGTGAAACAGTTCACAATTAGAACTAAATAAGATACCTTTATGCATCCTTTAATGAAATCTGTAACAGTATCTCTTAAAAAATCAATGCCACTATTAGCAATGGCAACAGGTGTTGTGCTAGTCATTCCTGATTCTAGGGGGCAGTGCGCATCTTCGTTTCAAAGCTGAAGAGCCAGCGCTGTCTGAAGACGTCTCTGTGGTCATGTGGCTGGCACGACTAAATGCCAAAGGAACACGGAACGCTGTTACCTTTCTACCAAAAATGATCCCTATTTTTCTACTTGCATTTTTTCTGTTTTCAAATTGCTAGACTGACAGAAGCTGGGACAAGTAATGATTCACTCCATTACGCGACCCTAGGGATTCAAACTGCCGAACTGGTGACCTTTCTGATTGACAAGCTCAGCGTCTTAGCCACTGAGCCATCGCATCCCTCTTAAGCCCATGCTTATAGAGCATATTTAAAATAGACCTTTTCTAAGAAGTTACTCTGTAGTCACCATTCTTATTCTTAGGACAATAAATTGCTCAATATCTTTTTTTTTTTTTTTGCACTCTTTTATTTTCTTCCCAAACATTTACTCATGGCAGTTAACAGAATTGTTTTCCCTTGGACTAGATTTAATCAGAATATTATACATTTTTTTTCTCCAAAACTCATCTCTGGTTCTCTGTTATCACTGTTCATATTAATATAAACTGTTTATCCACATTATCTCAACTTTCATTGTCTCCAGATGATAGAGAAGGGACCTCTATACTAACATATAGTCTACTCCCTTCTATTAAATTAATGTCTAAAAGTTAATTAACTTTGTGGTTTGATTGATAAATATGCTATTAATTATATGATTAGTCCTTTATTATGATATTCTGACATAAATGTGATAATGCCATGCAAGTGGAATTATATGGTAATTTGTATATTGCAGAAGTCCAAAAGAAACAAATAGAAGACTGTGTAGAGTTGATCCAAGAAGAATGCATATCAGAGAATGCGGACAACTCTACAGAAGAGCCTATTGAAGGAGGGCTGGATGGGGATGGAGAAGAAATGACAGATGGGATAGAGGAAGATTTTGATGAGGATGGTAGTAATGAGCTGGTAAGAAATTACAAGTGTCCTAGTACAGTAAAGAAATAATGTTTTTCATCCTATAAACAGTTAAAATTGGGGAAAAGGGGAAACAGAATAACAAGAGGTGGCTACCATGTTCCATCTTGAGAGACCGCCTCCTGCCAATTACCTCCCTTCGACCAATCAGATCCCACAGATTAGGCCTCCTCCG